GCAAAACAGATTATAAGAGTGAGGCAGTGACATGTGAAAGTGTTGAACAGACTCAGAGGAGGTGCAGATGCTCACTCAGACTTGGGAGCCACTGAGCTTCTCAGCTTGCTCTCCAGGCCCCCAAAGAAGCCTTTGACGTCAGTCTTGGACGTGTGTTTAAGGAGGCGCTCGGCGGCGTCCTTCTTCCCTGACAGCCAGGTGTTAGCCTTGTTGAGATAAGAGTCCAGACCAGCTGGAGCACCACCGCGATCCAACAGCTCCGAGGGAGACGGCTGAGACTTTCCTGAGAAGAAAAGCTCAAAATGCTGAGTGCTAACGTTGCCTAACAGCAGCTACCTGCTTTGCACCGTCTGAGGTGGGGGGTTATTTTCACAGGTGTTGACTGAAGTGAGATTTAATGAAGTGAACGCTTCACTTTAGCCCAGCAGCAACTCAGCGAGCTGGAAACGAAAACAGTCATTAGTGTGCAAGATTGTGTTCACAACACAAAAGTGGAAACATGCTGTTACTCTGTGTTAAATCAGGGCTCTCTGCAGTCTGCAGCAGACCTTTGTGTGTCGCTTTGCGCCCGAGTGCAAGTTGTTATAAGCAGAAAAAAATATTTAACTTAGCAGACGTGCCTGCAGACTCGCTGATGCAATGCACTGTGTCACAGCGGTGTACTAATCACTCAGTGCTTCCTGCTTGCATGAGCACAAACACTACCTTTATTTGTGATGCTGCTGCAAGAGAAACCACAGAGCCAAACCCTGCTGGTAACATTCCCTGAATCAGCACTGACGTGTCTCGTTTTTATAAAACAGACACAAACACAGATGTCTGTCTTTTGCACTTTTGCAGCTAAAAGTTGGAAAAGAAAAGCTTTTAATTTGAGCTACGGAGGCTCAGCAGCGTTTCTCTTAAAAAGCAACACTTTACAGTTGCTCTGAGGTGGCGTACAGACTGTTTTCAAGATCTTACCAACGTAATAATAAGTGAAGCACATGGTCATGAGGTTTTTTGCCGGGCTGTAGTCGTCCATCTGGTAACACCTGCAACAGAAAAACAAAACAAGAAAACACAGCATTTCTTCAGATGTGATCCTATGAAATAATGACTTTAGTGGAAAATATATGAATTAAATATTATGTAAAGTATGCAGAAGTATATTTTTAGCACCCTTTGTCTGTTTCTGTGGAATTTAAGCAAAAACCACTCAATGCTGAATTTTCTGAAACTTCTTGGAGAGGTAAACAAATGATGCATTTACTGCCTTGGGTGTGTGTTTGAGGTCATGTTCATGCAGAAAATCTTCAGAGATCCTGGAGAAATATTGCTCAACACCACTTTAATGATCCCAAATAGGTCGGACTCGTTGGAAGGAAGGAAAGAAAAGAGGAGCAGCTCTTTTTTTACTTCTTTTTCTTTTGTGGCACAGTTCAATTTTCTAATATTACCATATTTACTTAAAATTCTTTTAATGTCTGAATGTTCTTGACAGATTTATCATCTTTTATGTAATCTGTGACTGATTATTAACAACTGAATAATCTTCAAATTACCTTGAAGATGCACAAAGAAGAATAAAAACCTGGAGCTAACGAGAGCGCCACGTTTGGTTCAGTTGCAGCAGCATTTGCAAGACGCAGCTTTGCTTCCAGCTCTGCTAAAAACTTATAATGTCACATGACCACTTATTCAAAATGATGGCTCAAGTTCACAGTGAAAAAAGTTACAGTTGGACCGTGTTTACTTACTCAAATAGCACAACTGCAAAAGACTGCACGAGTCTGTAGAAGGTGGCCTCGCTCACACATTTGGAGTGGCAGCGCTGTGAACACAGTACAAGTACATGTCACTGCAAGGAAACAACATTTCAGGAGAATATGAG